CTAAGGTGTCGTTTTGGTCACAATTAGGATTCAACCATTCTTCCTCATTTTCAAGCTTGAATAAACATGCTAAGGCATACAACATAATATTCTCATCATATCTAACATAAAAATTTACTCAAAACATCAACCCCTTAACTTTTCATCTTTTCCAAATTGACCCCTAAAGAAAAAACTAATAGATTTTTCATCACTTAAAGCATGAAATCAACATCACAACACCTATATAATCATTTTCAAGCCTTGAAACCTCAAATTTAATCATCTCTCCATCCACCCTTTACATAAATTCAGAGTTATAAGCATGGAAAACATAAACAAATGGTACCAAATGAATGAGAATTCAATGGAAAATAAAATTAGATTTCACGTCTTAATCTTAAATCCAACTTAAAATGCTTTAAAAGTTAAAAATAAAAGTTCACCTTGCTTTTGTTGAAACTCGCAGTAGCAGCGAACAAATTAAAGAAAGTTCTTGAATGTTTTTTTTTATTTTAGTCCTTTTAAGATTTTTATAACCTAATTTAATTTAAAATTCATTTTAGTGCAAAATGACTATTATGACCTTAAAATCTAATGATTTTATTCATGTCACATATCAAATTTATCATCCAAGGGTTGAAATTAAACCATGAAGTTAGTAGTTTATAACTTTACCCTTGTAAAGGTCCAAAAATTACAATTTTGTTCTTTTTAATCCAATGGTTAAGATTTAACATGAAAATCAACTTAAATCCAATGGTTCACATTAAATCTTATCATTTTAAAGTATGAAAAATACATTTTTCCCTTGCTTTATCATCTAGCAAGACTTCCTAAATTTTCGATTCGATTGACTATCCAAAATTTTTCTAGAACTTTCACACTTTATAGCTTTAACACAAACTCCATACTAAAAATCCGAGTGACACCAAAAAATCGTTCTTGAGGGTAACTATTCATTTACGGGATTAAAGGACTCCAAAATTACCATTTTAGTCTCTATAATTTTTTAAATTTATACTTTAGTCACCAAACTTTCATTTTATTCATTTGGGCCACTAAACATGTTTTTGGGTATTAAAGGGCTTCAGTTAGCTTTTCATATTAACATCATTTTCAACTAGGAAAATATAAGTTATTTAATTTTTAAAAAATGGTTTGAGAGGATAAGAAACCCATGTGCGAATAAGCATCCAATTGAGTTATAAGATATAAAAGTTATATCAATTAATTTTTTTAATATTTTTTATTATAGTATGTGTATTAATATAGTCATTAATTATCGACGGGAATTAGTTCAAGTGATAAGTAGTTTGATATCGCTTAAGCAAAGTCTCGAGTTCGAGTCCTTATGAATCAAAAAATCTATGCTATGAGACTCACCTACCAAATCAGATGTGCAACGCTGATCGATCAAAATTAGTGCATCACTACTCGAATAACCAATAAATAATTACATTGATGAAAATAAAGACAACAAAATTACACGTTGTTTTTTAGAATATAATTTAAAACATTTTTAATGATTTTATAAACTTCAAATAACATAAAATTATATTCTATACAGTTTTATTATACTATATTAATAAAAAAATTGATTCTCATTTCATCATTATTATTATATTTAACTACTAACACATAATTCACCATTGATTTTAAATATCATTACTATGTATTTAAATTTATAATCATCGACATGAATTAAGCGGCATCAGTGGTTAAGGATTTTATTGTTATCTCTTTAAGTTTTGGGTTCAAGCACCTTATATGCATAAATATAAGCGTTCATTGTCAAAAAATTAAAAGTCTTTAAACAAACACTAACTTAGATTTCACTATAGTTTGAATGATAAACAACTTGATATTACTTATACAAGGTCTCGAGTTCTAATTTTTGTGTATGCGAAAAATCCCTGTTGAGATACTCTCTCACCAAAACCAAGTGTACGACGATGATAGATCTAGATTAATTAAGGTGAAACCATGAAACCGGGAAGACAAAAAAAAATTATAATCACCAATATATATATATATAATGATAGGCACCACTCTTTTAATCTCAACATATCCAGATGGAACTTCTGATAAAAGATTTCAAGCCCATGATTCCACAACCGTCAAGCAAGGATAGCCCAGAAATAGAGACGGTTTCCACTCTCCAATTGGATGGAAAGATAATTTATCAAAGCATTTTGAGGGTGGAAAGCGGGTAACTTTTTTGTGCGTTAGTCTAGTTTAAGATTAATTTAAAATAAGTTTTAATTTAAAATATTATTATGTTAAATTTAAAAATTTATAAAAAATTGTAATATGTTTTGTTGTAGCCGTAAAGTTACATTGTGGATATAGAGTATACAATCCAAAAAATTATATAAATTTATAACATTCTCAATTATAATAAAAAATATTATAAATATAATATATTTAATTTCAAGCTAAAATACTATTATGTTATGCGCTCTTGTGGGCTGCAACAGCAGGAGCAAAATTGTTGAGATGACACCCTTCGTTTGATGATCTTGAATTTGAAGGGTAAGTCTCTCTTAGTTCATGTTCTGAAGTTAGCTTGGACTGGTTTTGTTTATTTCCTATGGAAAGAACGTAATCATAGGCTTTTTAGAGAATTGATTCGTTCGGCTGATATAATTGCGAATGTTATAAAGGAGGCTGTTAGTATTAAAATGTATATATGTCATATGAATAAGTTAAATTGTGTAAATAGATAGTTGTGCATAAATTGGGGGTTAACCTAGTTAGTTGTAATGTTTGTTATAGCAGTTTTACTGTTTTCTTTTGGATGAATACAACTTTAATTATCCAAAAAAAAAAAAAAATCGGTGATCACATTTCAAAGATGAATACAAAACTCAATGACAGCAGACTGAGTAAATGTTATGTCCTCCCAGAGCATCGGCAATGGTGATGCAAAACGGAGAAGAGGTTGACATATTCTACACTGCAGTATATATAAATAAATTAATAAATAAATACAGGTCAGTCTGTTTAAAATGTGTTGACATATCCTACGGTATAAATTCTAAATGTGTTGACATATTCTACGGTATGAAAAATAAATTTAAATATAATTGCTTATTTCCCGTTTGCTGAGCAAACATGTCGCATGTTCTTTACGACGACTCTTGTTTTAAATAGGGTCGGCTTTAGAGGGTAGGCAAGGGCAGGGCGGACCTCTATGGTGCCTGGGGTATTCTGGGCAACCCCTCATCCAGGGGCGGACTTCCATGGTGTCCGGGGTATTCCAGGCAACCCTTCTGCAAGTGTCACCCCTGATACAAGTGTCACCCCTCAAAAGTATCATCCCTGGGACTCTTGCAACCCCTGAATTTTTATCCTGGATTCGCCTCTGGACAGGCCTGCCCCTAAACCTTTCTAAATTAGTTTTGTAGCCCTTTCTTGTTATATCCAAATTATGTGCTTAAACTAGATACCTCAAGGAACAACAACAATTCATTTTCCATAAAAGTCGTTGGTCTCATCCACGAATTTATTTTGTTTTTAAATAGCCTTTAAAAAGTCATTTGATTTATTGTTAGAATAATTAGATATATAATTTTGGCATTTACGTGCTATGTGTAGGGATGATAATTCAAATTATGAATCTGAATATTTGTTGACATTTAATTTTTTATAAATTCGAACTTAAAACTATTGTTATTGTGGATTCAAAATAAATACATATACACTCTTAAATATTTATATTTTAGCTCATATTATTTATACGAATACATATCACATATTAAAATATTTTAATATAATTTCGAGTTACAAATAATAATATGTTTGTTTTTATATTCAAATTTTGGTCATTTAACTTTTAGTGTATTTAGATTCAGATTTATGTGGATTCATATATTTTGACATGTAATTTAAAATTTAAAATTCTCAATTTTATACAATATTGTTGATTCAAGTTTTTATAAAATATTGTTGATTAAAATTTAAATAATTTAAAAATTATAGATATTCGACCCATTATTATTCTTAACATGTATACCCAATTATTTTAATGATATAATTTGATACTTAACAAAAGTGACCACGTGTGTATTTTACCTTTCATATTTTATATTACATATATTTAACTACGAATGTTTCATACTTATAATTTTGTAGCTATTTTAGTTAAAGTGATAATATGTTACACATAGAGACAGATAGGCTAAGATTTTATGTTAAAACGTGAAATTATAAAATTTCAAAAAGGGACAAACTTATAATATTTTAGAAGTGCGAAAATAAATTTCAATAAAAAAAATCTAAATTATATTTTAAATTTTTAGGGAGACAACTGTTCCAACCCATTCTCTCTTAATCCATCACCGTTTACATATTCAAAAATTAGACATCAAATTTCTAAACATGAATGTATAACGTATAAAAGTGAGCTGCCTAATTATACTAAGAAATTAAAATTTGAATATCTAATTCTACCATTAAAAAAATTGGGTGTTATATAATATATAAATACCAAAATTAAATACAAAAAAATGAGTACCACGTTACATATAAATATAAAAGTTAAGTATAAAAAATTATATATTCCAGAACATTTAACTTTATTTAAACATTAATTTCAATCTATTACATAAATATTATCAATAAAAATATAATTTTAGCGGTCATTTTGTAAGTTTTTAAATTTGAATGACCAAAATAAATATTTTAAAGATCGGGTGACCAATTGTATATTTACCGTTTGAAAAGCAAAAAAATATAATATTAAATATTAATTGAAGTGAAAAAGAAAAACGTGAACTGGACTTAAATTATATACTGCAATTTGCTGTTTTGCTTTTGCACCTCGTAGAATGGTCCCCACCCAGCCTTTGAAAACCACGCAATTTCCCTAAACATTTAAATATCGTTTCATCAACAGCCCGGTTTATCGTATAAAAGACACGTGTGATAACAAACAAGAACCCCAACCACCGCCCTTTGATCGGTTTACTTTCATTTTCATGTTTATTTTTTTTTACAGTTTTTAATCACATTTTGGTCTGCCTATAGCAAAGCAGTTCAAAATTTAGCAACGAAAGGAAAGATCAACAGAGAAGGAAAAATTAGGTTTCCATGGAAGGGGAAGCTGGTTCGTGCGAGGAAATTAAGCCAAACGTCGTCGATAAACAAAGTAATGGCGATGTTGTCGGGAATCTGGGGTCCGTTGAAGCCCCTGATTTTCTTTCCAAGTTCCAAAACTGGTAAGCGTTTTTATTTTCTTTCCACGGAAACGAAGAGAAATCTTTCTGGATATGGGTATTATTTGATTTCATTGCAATTTTTGTTGAATTTTTGTTTTGAAAATGGAAAGGATTCACTTTGTGGTTGTTATCTTAATTATGTGAAAAATAGTTCTTAATTAATTACCCTAATCTCATTTGTTTAGGATAATTATTCGAATGACCTATCCTTTTCCAGCTGGGCTATTTTAACGGTACTGTATATGGAATATAGTAGTTTTACTGTTAGTTTTTATTGAGACATTAAATGGTTGGAAGGCGACCCAAGCTTTGCTATTTTTGAGAATATAGTAGTACTAGCAGTTTTTATTGTGATGGTTGGAAGGAAACCCACGTTTCCTTTGAATTGATCGTGTAGTCAATAGTATCCTTAAAAAATGTAATTTAACAAGTCCCGGTCAAGCCAGTTTGGCGTTGGTTTAATGATAAGGTTGAGGTCCACTTTGAGATTCAGGTTGAGCCTGTCATATGTGAACCATGTGTGACCTCTTTCCATATTTATTTTGGTTTCTAGTCTGATTGTTCATTCTAATGCTTGATTATGATGATAATTATTTGAACTGTATTGATTATAATTGTTATTGTACCTTCAAAAATAAAAAAAAAAGTCTGTTAAAATCTTAGCGAATGTAAGTTGTCGTCATTTTTCCCCCCTCAAATTAGTTATTTATTAAAAAAATGGAATGGGTATGGTTACACCGAGCTTTGGATATTAGATTTTAGGGTTGTGTGTTTGGATTTTGTTGAGTTTTTTTTTGAGGACTTTTGGTTCTCGTTATGTTTTTCTTTGATGTATAACTTTTTTTCCAGAGCACATGAAGATGTTTACTTCTTTATTTATTCTACGAACATTTATAGCGACAAAGTCATTGGTTTTCACAGTATATATTGTGCTCCCATTACAAGCTTCTACGATGTTATCTAAATCTTTCTTTCTTTCTTTTTACGGTGAACAAGGTCCGTAGCAATGTCGGCATCTGGACTAAATACCCCAAGCCCTGCTCCATCCCAACTCACCATCTTCTATAATGGAAGTATTTGTGTGTTTGATGCAATTCCGGCAGAAAAGGTTGGTCTTTTTGTTTTCCTGAAGGTGTTACTAACTTCAGCTGAAGGGGAGGTCTTATACCAAAATTCACCATTGGTTCATGTCCGTCAGGTGCGGGAGATTATGCTTATTGCTGCAACTGCTGCAGCCGCTGCTGCTAACTCTGTTGACATGAAGAATGTTGCAACTGATTGTGCCACCACTTCACCTGCTCTTACGAGGTCTCCTTCAGTTCTTAGTGCTGCAACTGCAACTACTTTGGCTTCACCACAGGCACAAGTCTATCCTGTTAACAGGCCTGCCTTTTGCAAACTGCAAGGTGGTAACTCTTAACTAACTTATCTGGAAGATGGATGAATTAGAAATGTGAATATTCAATGATTAATCGATTCAGTGCATGCTAGCTAATAAATATAGCTTGATGTTTTTTGTAAATATCTATTGGATCAGAATTACCGATTGCAAGGAGACACTCCCTTCAGCGTTTTTTTGAGAAGCGACGTGACAGGTACACCTTCCATACCGAACTACCATTTTCATGGTTAGATTTATGATCCTAAGCGTTCATGATATTGCATTTTATATATGCGGTAAAATGATGTTGCACGAGTGTTGTTACTTTTTGTTGTGATATACTTTGGATAAAAACTATCAACTATTCTCAAAGTGGATAACATTAACTACCTAGAATTTGTGCCATGCTTGGGGATTCGGGAATATAGTTGAGGTGGCAACTGTTTCCATATGCTTGTTCCTTGCTGCAGGCTGGTGAACAGGAACCCATATCCTAATCCATCAACACCAAAATCATTTGATGACACCAAAGCTAACCTCAGTGCTGCAGCTTCACCAGAATCGGGTTGCTTCGGTAAATCACCTGTTCTTCAAGAAGAATTCCAACCAAAAGCTCCGGCCCATGCTGCCTAAGCTAAGCATATACCTTATATATATTTGATAAAAACTATTGTGAAATGCAAACTGCACTAGGATAATGAATTTGATCTGTCTTTGGAATTGATGTGGATTAAAATTGTACAACTCAAGATTGTTCTCATGGTAGGTCTTGTTATCTGCCACGAGAGTACTGCCTGGTGTAGGATGAACTTTTCCGTTTTCGTATTACCTCTAGGGGCAGTTGTGATGTCCTTAAAATCCGGTTACCCTGTCTAATCTGTCTGACAATCGAAAAACTAAGCTATCTAGTTTTGCTGTGTATGTGACGTTGAATTGGTTGTTTTTCTGTGTTGTTTTCATATGTGAAGGCTTATCATTTGTGTGATATTGATCGAACTTTTGACGTTGCATTGTTTTTCAATTAGCATCGTGTGCATCTACAGATCTTAGATCATAGAAACAATTAAACTGGACTAGCGTTTATACTTATCATAGACCACAATTAAATGGAAGGAAAAAAAAAGACACGATGAATTTTCAGCTACTGCATGAGCACTAATTAATCATCTTTTGCAACATAAACAGACAACGCCGAGGTGCATCAATGGAGTGACTTACCCAAGTCCAAGGGACAAGCCAAAAATGGATTTTCCTGGGAAGCTCAATAAATATAATATTGTGACATTGTTTCCAACTTAATCTCGATGTGGATTAACGTTTCACCTTTTCAAGGTGATATTATATCGGACTTGATCTTGTGACGCTTTCATCATAGGTTATAGTTGTCTATCGTGTTTAATCTATCCAAAATTAATGTCATTTATTTCTCTTAAGTGTGATGCTAACTTATACAGGCAAATGACATTAGGCGGTCTCTCTTGTTGTAAATTTTGACTTGGCATTCGTTTGTCTCTTTAAAAGAAAATTTGGGTTCATTCATAGCAACCAAACCTCATCTTTTTCATTGACAGTTAAAGGGATGGGCTAAATTGATAAAATTTGGTATGGGTTGAGAACTGCGGGTCCGCCCATGTAAGGTGGCATCGAGATGCGAGTCTATCTGTTGGAAAACACAGCATGAAAAAGGGACGTAATTAACGGCTTTTTTGTTCTTCCAGTTTAGATGAATGATTTTATTGTTATTGTTTTTGGGATTTATAGGAATCGGCTCTTGCTTCTCGGGCATTTTGACTTTTAATAAACAACATACATAATCTGATTGAGACCAAAGCGAAAAGGAAAAAAGAAAGAAAGAAAAAGAGGTGGAAAGATTCCTTAACGAGGAAGACGAACAAAAGATAGCAAGTTATACCCAACCAGAAGGAACTCTGTTTTTCTCTTTCTTTCGGTTGCTTTGACTTTATGTGTAATATATTATAGAGGTCAGCAACCCAACAGAACCTACTCAGAGAGGATCAACCCTTCACGGTCTTACTCCTTTGACAGAGAAATGCCGTTCTTCTCTTTTTCTCAACCAGGGGCTACGTGTGGTTTCACTTTCTTTTATGATTAAAGTGCTAAAAGCAACAAACAAAATCCTTGAGCTTTGAACTTTTGTTTTACTTCACGGGTCGGCCCAACCCAGAATCCAATGCACGCATCTCTCTCTCTCTCTCTCTCTCTCCCTGTTACCCTATACTGGCCCTACCTTGTAGAGCTGTAAAGAGTCAACTCAGTAGATATTGTTTTATTTTGCTTTAAACTTTCTTTTTCTTTTTCTTTTTCTTCTCTCTTCGCTAGTGTGTGTGAGTAATGTGAGCCTGTGACTCTCTTCACCTTCACTTTTATGCCCTCTTATATTTGTCAACGCTTACGAAAAGAGGAACCTAGGGAAGTTTACTACCTCCCTTCTTCCTTTAAAGCCCATTTACTTTCCTTTATTTGCCCTGTTGCTTTCTCTTTTGTATTGTTTTTGGGGCTGTTTCGATTTTCAACTTTGTCCCGTTGCTTAATCCTCCAAAGCCCCCACTAAGCTTCACTCAACGCCTCCCCTTCAGCTTCGTATCACCATGTACATTTGTCTTTCTTTTATCTTTCTAACCTTTCTGTCCTCTTCTTCTTCTTCTTCTTCCATTTCGAGCTCATTTAGGATTTGTTTTTATCAAGCTTTAAAAAGGCCTTTCTCTTCAAGGGTTATTCTACGCGGTTTTAAAAAATAAAAATAAAAGAGTCTCTTGCTAAATGCAAATTGATTGTCTTTTAAACAAAAGTAACCCCTTTTATAATAGTTTCTTGAGGTTCCCCTCTTTAATTTATGGTTTCCCGTGATTGTTGCTCTTTTAGTAACTTTCCATGAAGAAATTACTCTCTGCATTCATTGAAGTGAAATTGAGTGGAACTGATTCGTGTTCTTGTTGGACCCCTTTTGAAAAAAAAGGAGAGCCTCTTATTGCTTCCTAGTCATGTGTGGACCTTTAATGCTTATGTTAGTTAGGTCGTCAAATTTTCTCTAATCTTTTTAATTGATGTGATATTCAAGCCTTATTTGCACCGTTTCATATGTTCTGTACGATGTGGATAAATTTGAAAAGGGATTTGGGGTTTGATTCATCTGTATGATGGTATGAGTGGTGAGTGATAATGGTCTCTTATTAATAGTGCAGTTCTCCTCTCTTTATCATTGCAGGTTATTTTCTGAAATAATCTTCCAATGGAGAAGGCTAATGGCTGCATTTCGAGGCAATCTAGGAAGAGAAAGTTGCATCAAGAAGGAAATGATATGTTGAACTTCTCCTTGGATGAGCTCACTGATGACCTCCTTGACAGGGTCCTTTCATGGTTACCTACCTGGACGTTCTTTCGCCTCCGTTCAGTGTGCAAGAGATGGAAATCGGTTGCTGGTTCTGAAGGTTTTAAGCTTGCTTGCTCTAGGATTCCTTCAAGGGAACCTTGGTTTTTCATGGTGGGTCCCAGTCTTAATCAATCGGTGGTATTCGACTCTGCTGAAAGAAGTTGGAAAAAACTCAATCATCCGCCTCTCCTCTCGAATAACTGTAACTGTGACTCCATCCCGGTTGCAGCGGCTGGTGGGCTTGTGTGTTTCCGCAATATATCTGGTGATTACCTTGTATGCAATCCGGTGACAGGATCATGTCGTGAACTACCTCTGGTGAATGCGGACTCTCTTGATCGGCCACTTCATGCTGTAGCGGTGAATGCATATTCCAAGTACTTCTACAAGCTAATCTTAGTGTCTGGTGATCTTTCAATGCTTTCCTTCAAGGTTTACAACTCTAGTGCTGACTGCTGGGAAGAGGAGATTATGCTAAGGAGAAAAACCGATGATTGTACAGGACACGATTCGAATGACAACGACGATGATGCCATGTATTTCCTTAGCAAAGCTGGAAATGTAGTGGCAACTAACATGCTGAGAAGCCCATCCAAGCAATATTCATCAGTTATTACTCTTAAAGATGGCGAGGAGATTGTTTACTTCCTCAGCTCCTCCGGGACAGTTGTTGCTTGCAATCTGACCCGGAAGCATTTCTCTAAATATCCCAGACTGTTGCCTGTCTTTTTCGAGTACTCCGTCGATGTGGTGGAGTGTAAAGGAGAGATGTTGGTCGTTATGTTATCAGAATTCTTTGAAAGTGCAAGCCTTAGGGTGTGGAGATTTGATGAGAAAACAAAGACTTGGCATCAGATTGCAAGCATGCCTCCTGCAATGTCACACGAGTTTTGTGGCAAGAAAGTTGACGTAAATTGTGTTGGGGCAGGTGACCAGATATTTATCTGCATAAGCTCTGTTGAGCTTTGCAGTTATGTTCTCTGTGATATCGTGGCTAACGATTGGGTTGAACTTAGCAAGTGTTTTATGAATGGTGAAGCCATGAACTTCATGTCTGCTTTCTCTTTTGAGCCGAGGATCGAAGCTTGTGTATGAACACATTTTGGGGACAATGCTATATTTTGAAAGATTTGATAATGTTCTGTGATTCCTTCCCCCCCCCCCCCTTTTTTTACCCTTTGCTTAATTTATTTTGTACTTTCTTGTATCCTTTTAGAGCATTGATTTTTTCCCCTCTTGAATTGTTTAAGCAAATCAGCCCCTTTGCTGAATGTATTTATTAATGAGACTATTGGTTTCCTTATACAAAGTTATCTTCTTTTTTGTAACTTTGAATGCTAATGTGTCTCTCATCAAAATTTCTTGGTTTCTTGATGCAATTGGAACTTATACCAGAAAGATGGTGACTGGTTTTTACACTATATTATCTGAATGTAGTTGTGAAATAACTTATGTGTCGACATGACGAAAATGACCCTTTTGTGCTGCAATGTCATCCCCCAACGTTGAGATAACGATTCCATTGCTGCAAAAGCCTGCATCCGAGAAAGTTATCTCAATATTTGATTTAATTAATCTTGCACTTCTCCTCTCATGTTAGCAGCGTATAAACAAGTAAATTCTGCCACATCGCGAGCAAGAGAAAACCCTTGGTATTCTTCTTTTTTTGCTGTACCCTACCTTCATATGGAGGATAGAGTGGACCAGGAAGCATGCTAAAAAGCATGGGCATGTCTGAAGTTCATGCGTTTCTTTGCAAAGACTTGGTATCATCATTACTACCTGTACCATCTCTTCACCCTTTAATGATTACTACCATCTCTCTCTTTCTCTTTCTCTTTCTCTAATCACTAGTGTAAATCTACTTGCATGTTACGGTGAACGGAATAAAGGTCTAACTTATATGATTGCAAATTTAAGTAAATATCATCGCAGTGGATTGCGTTGAAGATCGACTAAAAAAGCTAAAACCATGTCACATTCATCATTAGGGGCCGATTCACAGCTTTTTGTGGATGATTTTTTCGGTTAATTATTTATTTTATTAATAATGTTTTCTAAAATTTTATTTATATCAATTTCATTTAAAAAAATCATATTTTTAATATTAAATGTCTACCTTTAAAAATATTTTTAAATCTAACACGGTTGACAATAACCCGTAATTATAACTCCGTTTAGTTCAGCATAAAATTCATAGCTCTTAGTTTGGTTTTTCGATGCCTATAGCCCTATACAGACAATGCTTATTGTAGAATGGTTTCCACACTATAATGATGGGTTGGTTTAACTCAAACATGGCTGCAGGTTGCAACAGCTATTGTATTTGTACCGAGGATTTATGCTACATATTTTTATCATTGTTTTAATGTTAAAAAGCCAATGAATAATTGTGGCAAGGAGAATAGATGGACCGAGTCTTATATATGTAAGATTTCATTTTATATTTTTATTAAAAAAAATATTTTAAATTTTTAAATTTTTATAAATTTGTCCCCAGCATAATATTCTATATTCATCTTTGATATATGGCATAAAAGATAATCATGGTACTCCTCTCATCTCTAGAATACAGAAGAGTGTATACATTGATACTATTTATTAAATTATTTTCTTGTTTTAATAT